GTTAAGGCATCATAAAAGGTACAAGAGTTTCATTGATACTATCTTCAAAAACTTAAACCTATTTTAGAATGACTTCTTTATGAAGCTATTGCTAAGATGTTATATATAATAAAAAAAATAAGTATTACTCACAATAACCTTAGAATTTAATATATCTTATTTATGATTCAATATGTCAAAAAAAAGAAACTTGAGAAAATCTTTAGATCATAAATCTCAAAATAGAGCCAGAGTTGGAACTTTTCATATTAATACTACCAAATAAACTATTCCAATTCTCACAACTTTTTGAAGATTATCCTTGCAATGAAGTTGGACCTTCTTGAGGGAAGAAATATTCATGCCACAATCAACTCAAATAAAAAAAACCTTGAAGATGATGCTTAAGCTTTGATCATTCTATTGTAGATATGAAATTAATGCTCCTTATAGAATTTGGAATTAGAACAAGAATTGATGTTATGGACATCCAATAAAAGATTTTAAAAATATTCTTTAAATATTCTATTAAATTTTAGAAGGTTTTAAAAGATTTTTAAAATATTCTAATAAGATATTTTTAAAATATTTTTTAAAAGTTCTAAAATATTCTTAAAATATTCTAATAGATTCTAAAAAATTCTATGAAAATTAGGAAATTTGTTCATGAAGCTTACTAAAAATGCTTTATCTTCAAGCGATATGAAAACTTCTCGAGAAGCTTCCTAATACTTAGTATATATTAGAGTTGAGGTTGAGAGAATTTTTAGTCCCAAAAGTACATTTTTTGAAGCTACAACTCATCTTTCTTAGTATTGATCTTATACTCATTTAGTTTCATTAAGTTCTTGCTAGCTTTCTTATTAAATTATTTTGTTCAACTTCTTGTTTGATCTTTTATATAGCGTATCTATGATATATACAAGGTGACTATAAAAAATAACAAAGTTACTTTTTTTTTTATTTTAGATATATTATATGCTTTTAATTTTAAAATAAAAATGATATATTTAACTTAATATAATTAAAAATATCTTTCAATTGAAATCAATAAAATATTAATAACAGATTCAAAATTAATATAATGAAATATTAAAATGAAAGATGAAGAAAAAATTTGATAATTTTAAAGCATTAAATATATAACTATAGAAGTACAAAAATAAAATGAGAATATACAAAAAATATTGATATGGCCTACAAAGACTTATAAATTTATTCATAATAAAAGAATATTTGGTCTACATTTGCAAGCTATTAAATAATATTATTATTCAAATATATAAAACTTGGCCATAATAATTTTATAATATTACAAAATTTTATTGCATTAGAGTTTTTAATTTAATTTTTTTAAAAGATTTTAAAAGTTTCAAATCTTTACTTAGTTAAATTTATGTTCTTAATAATAGATGGCAAGATACAATATGTATGGTATCACATTCTTAGAAGAGACTCTTGATGATAAGTGATACTTCTAGAAGTGGATATATCCAAAAGCTTGCAAAGTATATTGTTTGTAATCTTAGGTCTTTTTTGTTGTATATATTTCTCAAAGAGATTGTATCTATTCATGTAATTTTGATATAGTAAAAATATTAATTAAATAAATATTAATCTTTCAAGTTTATTATAATAAAAAACTATATTTTATTTAAAATTATAATAAATATAGAAAAATATAATTAATAAATACATAAATAAGTGATTGTATTTTTGAGATATAAGAAGAAGAAGAAGAAAAAAAAAAAAAAAAAAAAAAAAAAAAAACTAATAGAGATATTGACAAGAATAAATACAATTTTTATCTTATTTTTACAAAAACCTTCAAACACCTTCAAATAATAAATTTAAAAATTAATTCTTTTTAAAAGAAAAACAATGATTCAAGAGACTATTTAAGTATCTTAGTTTGCAAGTCTTTTTAAAAAACATATTTCCAAAAAAAATAATAATGTCTTAGTTGGCAAGTTTTATTAGGTGTATTTTTTTTTAAAATCTTCTTATAATTCAAGTTGTAAAATAATAGAAGCTTGAATTATAAGCTTTTAATCTCATAAAAAATATATTCATAAAAAAAGATAGATACCATCTATAGTCTTGTCAATTTTTCTATTATTTTTTTTCTTTTTGACTTATGAAGTACATTATGGAAATAACTAATTATTTATTCATATCTTTTTTTTTTTAAAGAAATAATTTATTTCTAAAACAAATTCTAATTTATATTTTTATTACATAATAAGATATCTTTATATAATATCAGGTATTATAAAAAAAACATAAAAAATAAAAAATATCTAAAAGTATATATTTCATGATATAAAATTCTTAAATTATGAATTATGTATTTGATGAGACTAAACTTAATTAGGAACAAAAATAATGACATATGTTTAATTTAATTATTAAAAATATAATTGTAGTTATTTTCTATTACTGTTATTAATTTAAATATTATTCAATTTTTTCCTATCATTTATATTAACATCAAAATAAAAATATATATTATAAAAAATTAAATAAATAAATCAATAAATAAAAACTCAAAGTATAAATCTATGATATAAAATGAGAATATATATATATATATATATATATATATGTTAGCAAGCTATATTATCATTACAAAGCTATTAAATTTAATGTTATTGATGTTTTTTTATTATTGCATATTTGTAAGAATATTTAAAATAGAATATTAAGAAGCACTAATTATGTGTGAAAAGATAAGTAAAGTCATAGAATAAAAAGTATAACATCAAAAAGACTAACATATCTATATTAAAGTATTTTGGCTACAATAGTTAAAGAAGTCAGTAAAAAAATTAATCCAATGAAAGAAAATAAATTCTTTGAGACTTTATTTTGCATCATCAAATTAGATCAAGACTAAGATAATTAGATTCAAAAAATAATACTTTTAACTAAAACAAGAAATATAAGAAACACATAAATAAATAAAATAAAATAAAATAAAATAAATAGATTATATATATATATATATATGTTAAAATTTTAACAAAATAAAAATATATATAATAGAAAAAAAATTAATAACTATCAACAAAAATCATAAAATATGATATAGTAGAAATGAATTAAAAATAATAAATAAATAAATAAAAATAAAAATAAAAAAATCTTACTAGGAGATTATAAATGAGATTTATCAAAAAATATTATTTTTAAAGTTACAGTGAAAGAATCTTAAATTATACGACTAAGCTCATTAAAAGAAAACTGAATAGAGGCACTCATTGCATTACAATCAATATAACAACTCAAAGAAGTTGCATTACATCCAAAAAAATTAATATGCCAATTTTTATATACTCAGATAATTTAAAAATAAATAAATAATAAAAAATAACATAAATAAATCATAAAAATTAAAATAATAAAAGAATAAAATTTTATAAATTATTATTTTTGAAAAATAATTATTAACTTGTTAAATAAATCACTTAAGCCTTTATAGAATTAAGATATTTAACTTTGTTAGCTACAGATAATGTTTTACATATCTTGCCACGATTTAATTGCTTATAAAACATCATTAAGTATCTTTGTAGAATCCTAGAAAAAAAAATTTATATATATATAATATTCATTAACCTCTTCATTTTTTATTATAATTTTATTAATATAAAAAAGATCCAAACTTCATTACAATTAACATTTGAAGTAAACTTCAAGTTTCTCCAAAATGATTCAATATTCTTCACTTCAATGCTTATGAATTATGATTAGTTAAGCAAGATATTTTAATTAGAAATAAAATGATTAAATAAATAAATCTAAATTACAATAATAAATATCTTATAGAAGATGTTATGCATGTTGGTTATGAGACATTTGATTTTTTTCACAAATAAACATAAGAACTTTAATTTTAATCTATTTTAAGTAATAAATAGGAGATTTTAAAACACATTTAGTAGCCATATTTTATTTTCATATGTAGACTTAAAATTTTAAAACATGTTTAATTTGATATAGTAAAAAATATTTTTTAAAATTTGAAATCTAATTAGTAAGAAATAGATGTTTATATTTTTAAATATAAAATTATTCATAAAATAGTTATGATTTTCAAACATATATATATATATATATATATATATATATATTATAATAATAATAAATAAATAAATAACAACTACTACTAAAATTGTGTATGTTTTGTAATTTATTTTTAATTTTTTATTAATTTTAAAGATCTTTTTAAGTGTATTATTTTTTGAATTACTTACTATATTGTGAAAAAGAACTGCAATTATACAAAAGAATCATAAGAGAAAAAAATTATAATTAATATATTTTCTTATTTTTACCGAAATTAAGTATTGATCCACCCGTTTTTTAAACAAAATAGACTACATTGAAATTGATATTAATCCATAAAAAGACCAGAAAAATCCACAAGCAACTACCACTCAAACTTGGAATGATAAATTTTTATTAAATATGTTTTCAAATTAAACATTTTAACATAACTAATAATTAGATCATCATTCAAAAGTATTAATTTAATGAATATGAATATCTAAAATTAATCCATATTTTGACCATGCACTACTGCAACTATTATTTTATACTTGAAAGACTTTCTAGTTATTACTATTCAACTAAATAAAATATGTCCTTAATAACGTTGACTTTGAATTCTTTAATTTTTTGTTTAGAATTAAATGCTTCCATGATGTTATCTTACTGTCAATTTTTTCATTTGAATGACGTTCATAGATAATTGTCACAAAAAATTTATGGCAATAGTGTTCTTTGAGTGTGCTTTTGGAACGAGGCAACCCAAACAAATCAAAAAATTAAAATTATTTTAACTTATTGAAACAAGACAACTTTGCCAAAAGAAACACCGTCATACAGATTGCAAAAAAACTGTATCTATCATATTCAAGTATACAGTGTAAATGGTACCGATTTGTACAAAACTTTTTAAATCCACAGCATTCAATTGCCCATGTGCCATGATACATTATGAGTAGTTAACGATCGTGGAATCAGAAGGATCGTTTATTTTCATCTTCAAACAACACTAGGTTCAACGCCAAAGGATTGAAACCCCGAATGGAACAAGCACATATTCTGATTTTCTAGTAGAGACAACAACAAAACGTGCAAAACCGATAAGACTCCCAGTCAAACAGAAGCTGCGATTTCCACACAATCCACTCCAGAAACTGCATGACCAACTGCAAGCAAGTGAATATCATAGTACACGATGATGCTTCTGCAGTTACGCATTGAAGATGCAATAACTAGTCTGCTCCAGCTACGAGTGTCTAGACTAGCAAGAGGATCAACACAATTTTGAGTAGCACACACTCGAGAACCTTAAGGTATCTCCCTGGTGAATGCATGTCTACAATAAAGTTACATGTTAATGGTGGTAGATGATGCAGGACATATCAAAGTCCTAATAAACATACCAGCATGCTGACCAAAATCCAATAACTAATCTGCTAAATAAAGCTGGCGTTTCAGAAATCACAACCCTAACCCTAAAAGATGGTTGTGTCATTGTATACAAGGAGAGAGAGAGAGAGAGAGAGAGATGTGTTTGTGTGAGTCTAAGGTCTGTCGGAGTGAGGCTTGGGTACTGGCTTAATTTCGACATCCATGTCGCGAGAGAGAGGGTCATAGCCACGTCTGGTGCCGTGAACTTTTGCCACCAGAGCAAACACGCACACTGCAAAGAATACCACCATGATCACATGAAAGTTGAATGCGAGGTTCATTAGCGCTACTGCTCGGATTCGTGTTACCTCCAGATCGCAGACGGTGGAGCCGTCGATGCCGGTGGGAAGGTCCAGACGATAATGACATCCCTGAGGAATGTAATTCTCCACATAGAGGAAAAGACCCATTTGAAACATCCAGGTGCCATGGAGAATGATGCCCATGCTGAGGACCACGTCCACCAGGAATAGCTTCGATCGGAGAGCCAGCAGAGCTGCCATGAGCACGAGAAGTGGTTTCACTTTTAGAGATGTCGCTGAAGACTTGAAGTGGATTAAGTATTTAAGAACTTCAAGACAAAACATAACCTTCTAGAAACTTAAATTGTTAAGATTTTAATATCTTAGCAATCGGAACTACTTCTTATTCACAAGCCAATTCTCTAGCATCCAAAACGAGCTTCGCAATAACACCGGGTGCTTGATTTTGAAATACATTTAAAAACAAGATAGAATACTAATCAAGTAAAGAAAATATGACCGATTATTAAGCCCTGTGAAGTAGAATTAATGTGATAAGGTGCACTTACACCCTAGAAACGTGAAATAGTAGCATACTCGTCACCTTACTAGCTAATTATCTTTACTGAAAGAAATGGCAGGCGTGCGAGGAAATAAATAAAAATAAGACTTCACAGCAAACATTCGCAGAATCAGAGATCCGATAATTCCCACATCAAGATCAATGAAAGAGTAGGCTGAGGAGCTCATACCTGAGCATACTGCACACAAACCTGCTACATACGCAAGCAGCAAGTTGCACTGACTCTCCAGCCCAATGTTGCGAGCTGCTTGATGTGTGACTGAAATCCACTCCAACCCAAATGCAATGCTTGCGAAGAGAAACGAGGCATCACTGGGCAACGGCAACGCACTCGTGGCATCACTCAACAGCACAATCACGGCGTACATCCAGAACATGACGAGCGTAGTCGAGTGCTCGAAGCTGGCAACCCTGTTCTTCGCAATGACTCCATCCACAATGGGCTGGAAGTTAGTGGAGACTCCTAGCTCATAGAAAAGAGCCATGGGTATGAAAACCACTAGAAGGTAGAGTTCAATGTGCTTCGCCCGATTCGGCAGCCAATTCACGGGATGCCATGCCTTGGCAGCATAATCCCGCGGCGATTTCACGTAGTTGGTGAAAACTGAAAACAAATGCCAGAACCCAACCAAGCAAAGTACCAGAGACGGCGCGATGTGACCGATGAGAGTCCCCATTGCGCACGACACCCCTTCAAATTCAGACTCGCAGCTTGAATCCCGGAAACCTTGCAAATCCTCTACGAATGTCCGCAACCATCCGTGCGCTGGCTAGCTAGATCACATCAACGTGTCGACAAAAACCCACACAATGTTCCACATCGACGTCCATCGGGATCTACACCTGCGCAGCGAGATCAAGCGAGCCCAGGAGTACGATACCGCGACTAAGCCAGATTCGAGGGACGGAATCATCCCAAGACACACCGGACACTTGATCTTCAGGACGTACTCAGCATGACCCACGATCCAAACTCCTGCACGCGCCTGCATTGATGCGACGAATGTGAGGACCGTGGCACTGTCGGCACTTGTGAGAGAGAGGGGGTACCGAAACCCTAAAATGGCGTTGCACAGACTTACTCGTCGTCAGCTCCGCCGCCATTCACGGCCCACAGTCGCAATTCCTTCCTGGAATCCCCTCGCAATGTTTCAAGTTCTCCCTGCTTCATTTCTTTGGTGGGCTAAGTAAACAAATATAGAAAAACAAAAAATTAAGCTGCATTTAGAGATTGAAACAAGAAAATTTTGGACTCTAGAAATGCTTTGTATCTTTTGGAGTTATTTTTGTATTGAAATTTGCAATTCATCTTTGGGTTTTATTTTTTACTTTTTTAGAAATATTTGTGAAGCCATTATAGATTTTTTTAAATATCTTTTATTATCAAAAATATATAAAAAATTTAAAATATATATTTAAATCAATCCAATTATTTATTAAATTGACTCACTCGTTGTGACCATCATCAAAAAATAAATCATCTCTAGATTTAGTTCTTCTCTATTTATTCTACAATGAATAAAAAAAAATGGTTGGTCAATTTTCACCATGGTTACCATAATTTTTATCATGATTACAATCATGGCCTTTTTCTTGTCTATGTAGATTTCTTTGTGTCACAAATACACATATTTTCATTAATAATTGCTTAGATTATAAGAATTGAGTAGAAATAAGTAGAAGTAAGTAAATTTAAAAATATCTAGCAAAATAGCTTCTTAGAAGCTTCATAGATATGGATTTGACTTTCTAAGTGTTGGTAGGTGATTTGTAGGTTGAAAACTTTGCCAACAAGTTAACTATATCTCATATGTTGGAAACTTGTTTTGCAAATTAGACTCTTATTCCACAAGTTAGACATGTGTTACATGACCTATAGAATGCTCCCATGTGGCTCTCTAATTAGATAGTATATATGGAGGCAAGAGTGAAACCTTTCTCATTCTTGTCACTACTTTTCTTATTTTTAATCTTATTTCAAAAGTCTTAAGTCTTTTTATCTTTGATGATAGTCATTTTAGTTTTAATATTATAATTATTTTAAAGTAAATATTCACTATTTTTTTATGATATAAGATTGTCTTAACTCTTTCTTTGTTTTGTGATTTATATCCTTGAAAATTTGACAAGAATGTTAATTTTTTATTTTTGTTTTTATTTTAAAGTGAATAAATTATTTCACTTCTTTTCTATATTTTAAAAGTTGCAAACTATCCACCTTAAAATTAACATTTTTTAATTTTCTAACATTGATTTTCTTCTTTGAAAAGTAGCTTATCTCTCTTTGTGATTTTTTTTTTTTTTTTTTTTTTTTTTTTATATATATATATATTAGAGATTGTAGATTACCATCTTTTAACTTAACTCATAGATTTGTTAAAATTTTCAATTAAAGAGATAGAGGAAAAAATTACAAATGTTACACTTGGTAGAAGTGTACATAGATTTGCAACTATTGCATATCTTCACAAGTTTGTCAATACTTTTAGGACTAATCCATATAACCAATCCATGAGATCTTGACATTAGTTAGCAATTATCAATATGTGCTATTGTTGCAAACAACATAACAAATAAATATTGTAAATTGACTTTTAAAAAGACTAGCAATAATGATGTTTTAAAGCCATCCATATCTTTAATGTTCTAGTACTATTTATTCTACAAGGTTCAACTTGATGGTATTAGAGGCATTTATCAATGTTGTTATAGACAATGGACATAGTTGGAAAGTTGATATTATTGATCAATAGATTAATTGTTCAAAGACTTATCCATTGTATTATATAAGATAATGTTACTACATTGTTGGTCCTTGAGAAAGATTTAACATTGTTAAACTACAGAATGAATAGGATTATTGCTTAGTGTTATGAATCATAAAATAGAGTTGCACAAAAATTACTCTCAATAATTTATATAAAGAGAAATCCAATTTAGACTTCATATGAATAGATTTGATTCAAAATTCCACAATTTAGTTTAAATTTAATTTAGACATTCCATTATTGGATAGGTTCAATTTAGTTTGAGAGACACCTTAACCAAACTGCACAAATACCTAGTTTGTGTGACAAAATTAATTCTGTAGTAAACAAAATCCACATAACCATAATATCTCTTCTTTCATAACTTTATTGCACAATCAACTATCTCTGCTTCTATTCCAGCTAATTTGTGTTTACTACATGGAAATATTCCACCCAAAGTATTCAGTGAAGCAAAACATATCCGACATGGTAATCACCTACAACTTAATACCAAATGTCAAGCCAACTATGTTGAAGCCGCAAGTGGAATAATCAAAACCTCGACATGCACGGAGCACAAAACATGGAGTGAACCAGTCTCCACAAATTAAATCCAGCTGCCAAGTACACCCGACTACATTGCAGAGGATGGAGTAAACACCAAGGATTAACAGCGAATAAAGGTATCACTCAGCCACTCAGACACAAGCTACCCTATCCCCGTTGAAACGCTGCACAGATGCTAATGCTGTTTGCAATTTAGGCAATCCTCTAATAATACTTGAATAGCTGCATCTTTTTCCAATACGCAATGCCTGCGCAGCTGCAATGCTTAGTGCATGGATCTGGTAAAAATGCTTCAAAGATTATGTGCCGATGTCGTATAGTCTGTACAAATTGAAACGACACAAATATGAAAGACATAGCTTTCGACAGAGCTTTGGACCTTGGGAGGAGCATTGAAACGCGGACGGAAAATGACGCAGAGTTATTCATTCAACAGCAAAAGGAAGAACCAATAATGCTATATCATGCGCCAGAAAATGAATGGTAAAGAATGTCCGACGATTTCGTCGTTGAGCTCGTTCATGAGCATCCTAACTACTAATTTGTACATCGACGAAACCAAGCGTGGTTTGTATTCGCGGACTTCCACCGTCGACGGCTATCTAATCTTGGGGGTATGTGCACCTGCAGCAAGATCGAACCTTTCATAAGAGTCTGTAATTACTACATCTTGAAAAAAACTCAGTTTTGAATCAGCTCTCGTACTTGGATAACTCACTAATCACGTTGGCCAAGGAATCCCTACTCGACACAAAAGAAACCAAATAATTCTGTCACTATATCAAATGTACTATAAACAAGAACACTTAGAGATGGTATAGGACCCATAACAATAGATAAGTTGATGGAAAGGATGGACTGACCTGCTCAAACTTGTTTACAGCAAGTAGTAACGTAATCATGAAGCGCGGGAAGACCTCAGTTACTTATGCATTGTTGCCTGTACCATCGGAGGCTTTTGCTGGACGTCGATTCAAATAGCGAATCACGGCATCTTCCACCCTGCACTTCCAACATTCTTCAAAATGAGCCCTTGCAAAAGCAAGAGAGGATTCATACAAAATTATTGTATCAAACAAATGTAGAAACAAGCACAAAATTCATATCGCCAGGATCCAAACTACATACCACGGCTGATTGTAAAAGTCAGATCTTCTCTCCTTCTCGGGATTCCGACCATTCTGTACAACAGTCATTTTGAGATCCCGGCTTTGAGAGGCAATTAGGCCATTAATGAAATCCACCGGTGAGTGACTAAAGCCTAGAAAGTAAGCTCGCCTTCGCCGATGCTCATTGACTTTACTTATGGTATTTGTTATCATATCATCATACAGTGCGATATCTCTATGCTTCTCAACAGTAGTCAAGAACTGGTTCATCTCTTTCAGCAGAGGCGTTTGAATGTTGACACACACGTCGTAGCACGCATTACCTGCTGGCATACTCCCCGACACTCTAATTCTGTGCTGAAGATGTATGGGTTGTGGTGGACTTAAGTGATTGTGTAGTCTTGCAGATATAGACGCAAATTTTATTTTCTCGTCGCCCAGAACTTTCTGTAGTGCAGGGTCACAGTTGATCATAGTCGGGTCTGCAGAGTTTTGAAGTTTCTTGGCCTTGATATACTGCCACAGAGCTGAAATTATGTGCGGTCGCGTATCTACCTCAACCCCAAGAAGTTGGGCCAATGGAGCTGATAACTTGAACCTATCCGGGTTATGATCCATTTCCAGTCGTATGATTATATCACATTCGCTGTCCCCTCGCCTCTTGATCTCAAAACCCTCAACATGATTAGAGGCTCTGGCACTGTCCCACACAGTGGTATTGTTGTCCGGATAGAGGACCGGGTCCAATTGAACAGTGATCCTCTTAAAAAACGAGGAAAACTTCGGTACTGATGGCTTGACGGGCTTTGCGCTGATACCATCGACCTCCGGTTCATCAGGTTCCAGGACACGCCCCATTATCCACAGCGTCCACGACGGAGTTTCCGCATACTGCTGCTGAAAAGGACCTTTAGGGTTCTGGGTCTGATTGGTATAAGTATTAAAAACATACATTCTTAGAATACGTTCTACGGGCGCTGGCGATCTCACCACCTCCTGAATGTCCAGCTTCTTCCTCGCCAACGCAGCGTCCACCCGCGCCTCAAACTCCACCAGCTGGGTGTAAATCGCAGACTCGGGCAACAGTGCAGCGACCTTACCAGGAATCTGCTTCTCCGTTACTTTCTGTTTCTTTCGTCTGGCTGCGGGTGTTACTTCCGCTGCTTTGAACGCCGAAGACGTGGTGCCGGCGTTAGTTCCTACGCCCTTTCCTCTTCCGCGCTTCGCACTCGAGCCCGCGCTTCCTCCCCCGCCCCCAGTGGGAGGCATTCCCACTCCTCCTGCTCCACCCATCGGCGCCCCCATATTCCTCGCCTGCTGCCCCAACGACACCGCCCCGCCGCTGGAGGAAGCCCCTCCTTGCATCAATCCCTTCCTATCTGCGCTAATGCCGACCACGATAAGGTCCCCCAGAAACCCCAACCAACCCCAAAATATGGGTGAAAATTACATACAATGCAAAAATTAATGCCCTCCCGCAATTCCCCCGTTGAAATCAGGACTCCTGCGGCAGCTGCAACAGCATCGTGAACGAGGCGTGCAAGCTGCCCAGCTGTAGAGCCCAGTGAGTGCTCCACCACCGACAAGGCTTCCGAGGCACGACGACAACGGCGACGAGGCGCAGGTTAGTCTGTCTCGGGGCGCCCTTCTTCGGAGCCGGGTATAGGCTCCCTCACGGTTACGGGCAGAGCCCTCATTACCGTTTTCATTTCACATTCCTTGTTCCTCATTTTGTCCATTTCGCGTACCACATTTCTAATAAGTTAACAAAATTTATACATTTAATGGTTTTAGAAACAACCTTTTTTCATTTCAGTCTAAGATTTAGGTTGATAAATTGAGTGAAAAAATTATTTATGATTGAGAATATACCTTATGTTCAATAAAAAATTATAAATATACATAGAAAATATATAAATTTATACAATTTTATTTTATAAATTAAATTTATTTGATAAATTATTCATTTAATAAATTATCATTGAAGTAGTTTGATTATTTTACAATATGTATTACATGTACTCATATATTATTAAATAAAAAAAAGGTGAGTAAGAATTTTTTATAATTACTGTAATAAAATAAACAATCAACATTGATTCAAGTTTGAACTCTTATAAAAATTAAATATCTAGTTAATCTAAACTTATGGTTTTAAAATGCTATGATGCATACATTACTAGTGATTTGTTCCATATTCATCAAATTGTTAGTAGCAGACGATTGCACAATAAAACCATATTTTTGCTAATATTTATTATTTGTCATTAAATTGAAGAATTTTTTTTTATTTATATTAAAACTTTGATATTTAAAACTTATTAAATATGTTTATTCATAAATTGAAATACATAATAATAACATATTAATAATGAACTTCTTATAAGCAAAAAAAAGTATAATAATAATAAAATAATTAGAATAGTTGTTTAGTATTTGATTTAACATATTCTCTTGATAATATATTTTAATAGTTAATTTTATATAATAGTTATTCCACCTATATCAATACCATAATTTTTCAAGTCGATTATTATTATTATTATTATTATTGACAATGTATGAAGTTCCTTTTTTATTATAAAAACAAGATTAGAACATTATCCTTAAAATAATTGTTTTGCTGTCTTTGCACCTTCATGGATCAAAACACAGCATTACTATTACTATATATAACTATCATTGGATCTCTATTAAGACTATAGAATATATTATATTAATCTCGATAAATAATGTAATTTTTTCTATTTTATTCATATTTTTTTCAAATTTAATATTATGGTAGTGTTGCTAAAAAAATATTAATAAAATGTAACATCTCTCATAATACATGTCAATAACACAAACACAATGATACAAGACTTTAAGAAGTACCCATCTCAGGGAATGGTTGTATGGTATTTTTATTTTTATAAAATGACGTGCTTAAATATTTAGAATCAAAAATACTAACTTCTTAAACAAAAATGGTCATATAAGAGGTTCTAAGATAGATTACCCAATTAATAGTGATGATGCAATAATCTTACTTGTCTTACAATATATTGAATAGAAAAATAGATGCCTTAGAAATACACAATATTATAATAACATGTGTTTAAATATTTATTGTTCTTCATCTATGCTATAAAAGAAATAAATTATTGGTTTATAAAAAAAATGATAGAATATGTTAGTATTCATAAACTTTAATATTGTCGTGTATTATATAAATTTTTATATTTGATATTAATTAATAATACATAGATAAATTCGTAACAAATTTTAAACATATATTATATGTTTTTTCATAGCTAAAATTTCTAAAAAAGAGTTATAAATTTTGATGCATATTTGTGTACACAAGAGGATTTTAGATATCTAGTTATAAATTTATTTTAAAGTTTTTTTTATTGATCATACATAATTAAAATCTTATAAATTTCTTTATGTAAATTCAAAAAACAAAAAATATATTAAAGTACATGGTTTATTAGATTATTGGTAAGTATTTTTCAATTCTACTGAAAAAGAGACTTAGAATTACAGTAGTAAATGACCATTGTGAAGAATTTATTAATAAAAAAAAAGTTACATTATAAAATATGAAAAGTCTACATTGGTCTTATAGTCTTATAGAGCAAGTCATAAAATTGTATAATTTCTAAAAACTAAAAATAAAAATTACCTTACATTGAATAAAAAAGTAATTTGAATGTATTTTTTAAATAAAATTATAAATTAATATATTAATAACAAAAAAATACATATTTAGTTTAAAAAAGAATCATATTGTGTAATTACAATGGATTAGTGAATGGCATAGTTAAAATGAACAAAAAAGAATATATTTTTTTTTTCAAAATCTTCTTTTTAAGAAGTATTAAATATAATAGCACTATTTATACTTTTTTGAAATAAATAAAAAATATTTATTTAATTCAATAATTTATAATAATTATATATTGTAGTACTTTTAATCAAAAAATTATTATATTAAATCAAATTATTTTGCTTAATTTTTTAAATAGTGAAATCATATATAGATATATAATAAAACTTAATAAATAAATTAACCATATAGGCTAAAAAAATCTCTACATATTTTTAAAGTTAGAGTTTTTGAGTTGGTAAAATTTGAACTAAGAGTCGGATTACTAAAAATTAGAAATAACTTAAATTAAGTAAAAAAAAATCTAAAAATTCATTCTTTAAGGTGTTTTTTAGTACTTTTTACTTAAATATGGTTATATAAACACAGGAGACTCTAGATTGTCATATCACCACACCTACAAATCCAGCTCCGAAGTTCCTGAGGATGGCACAAACAAGCACCGAAAATCTGTTGTCAATTTTGGATTTCGTCGAGTTCAATTCAAGGACCCCAGCATGGGCTCAGACCAAGCATGTTCCAGAGCTACTGGCACTAATGCTCTACAGAGTGCTAAGCTTTGAAAATTGTCAATCGTACATGAACTGCTTATCAACCGCAGCTTTGTTCAAATCTTCGAAAGACACTGCAATACTAAACTCTTGGATTTGGAAACAAAAGCCAACTAGAGTAATTTCTTTTCCTCAACTCAAGGACTCTTGCAGATTGCAGCAGCTTGAGAGCTATGCATCGAGTTTGTCTTCAGTGCTCTGTGCAAACGCTGAGGTCTAGATGACGCTGTGAGCTGCATGATGAGCGCTACGCATTCTTTGAGAACAGTTGGGCTTTGATCAGGACAAGGCTATTAAGTCCTCAAGTGATAACGATCAGGTTCTAAACTCCAAGCCACCCGAGAGCTCAGTGGTTGATTTCTGAGCTTGTACCCACCTTAGAAAAGCTCAAGCATCACTTGCTGCAATTGAACCGTGAATTCGGACCATGTGAAGCTCATTCTCCAACCAGGCGATGGTCTACATCTCATGCAGTTTTTTCCAACCAGGTTGATATCCGTGCTATACATCACGAGCAATGTCCACAACAGGCATGATTATAGATGGTTTGTGTATTTGTGCAGGGATCTCAAGTAAAGTTCGAAGTTTAATTACCTTGTTTGAAGTTTGAAACTATTGCAAGATTACGTGAGAAAACCTACCTGTGTAAAATCTGCGAACATGTTGCCGTTTGTGAATGCATTGAGATGATGCTTCGCTGGATGTGAGGACCAATCTGCACCACCCGCAGAGCCGTGAGCCTGCTCAGGTTGTTGATGTTTTCGCGTGAAAGGGGTCTCGGAGGTGCCTTCAGTGGTAGCCTCTCCTGCAGCACTAGTGGAGGTGGCAAAGTCCGTGCTAGCTTCCACCTTGGCTTTTTTTTGCTGACTCTCATTGTAGTGTCCGTTTGGTTGCTCCACTGATGTCCCATGCAAGGGCAATCCTCGGCTGGTAGTTGCCATTCCCAGTCGCCGCAGAGACTCTAAGGCTCCAGCCTGTGGTCCAGCAGGGAAATAAGCTGCTGACGCTGGATCTGATTCTCCATTGCTTCCTGGTTCCTGGCTGGCCAGTGTTGCAGGCACAAGTGACGCCGTTGGATTAGTTTGCTGTCGAAAGAAATCTTGAGTGGATCCTGGACGGTCGGACTGCATCGTCCACTGCAAGTATAACTGATTTCCGGCTAGTCCCGCTTGCTGCTGCTGCTGTTGTCGCAATGCCATCATCTGCACGACAGAAATAACAAGATTTTTACAATAAAAATAAACGACACAGAAAAAGAATTGTTCTTTCAAAAAACTTGGATCATAATACGACTAGTCTTACAAAAATTAGCGCAGTTCAGCAGTGAAAATTGATTATGTCGCACCTGTAGACTGTTTCCGAGAAATTCATGCTGCTGTCGTTGCAAGGCGTGTGTGGTTTGATAAGCACTGCTAACGTAATTCTGCACACAACCAATTCCGTAGAACAACATCATATACTTGGAATGTGTCACAACAGATGTGACCTGAAAGTATGGTATTAAATACTTTGACGTCTTCCAAGGTGAAATATATTAGCATACTTTTCTGGAACGCACTCGCTCTAGAGCCTGCTCTAATTCCGTTTCCATATTGGCCAGTTGCTGAACAGAAGTCACATTCTGTAGAAGTTGTTCATCAGCCAGATACAGCCTGCAGGACAAAAAAAAAAATCTATGTGTTAGCTCCACTTCAATCAATTCTGGTATAGATATTTTTAAAAAGATTATAAGGAAGTAAAAAAGAACTGCCATTTAGCGTCATGGGTAACAAAGACTCAAAGATTCTACAGCACTAAAGAGGACTTGAAGCGCAAAACAAGAACTAGCTAATGACTATGCACCTTGCTCGTTGTTGCACTAATTCTTTAGCTTCTTGTGCTTTCTTCAACTCTTGCCGCAAAACCTGGTCAGACAATATGATAAGGAAATCAAAATATGTAACCTTTCACTGCAACTCATATTCGTAAATAAGAGAATCAAACAATCAAATCTACGACATAACGAGGGTAAGGCTTAGATGATCTGGATAATGTTACAAGGACAAAAATATTACCAGAGTCTCGGACTCATTTGATTTCCTGCAATACAGAATCCACCCACCCACAACCCCAACCACAAGTGAGAAACATAACTTCCATTACCAGGTCTGGGAAGAATCACGCACATTGGTTCAGTAGGAATAGTGCGAACGAATGGAAAAGTCCTAGAATTGACATGCTTGAGATAAACGTTAACTCTTTGAGCACTAAGACTATCGAGTAAATTTACAAATGACTTGATTGTAATGAAGTTGGTTGGCAACATGGCTGACCTTCCGACCAAGGGCTGCTGCTTTGTACTTAGGTTCTCTCCTGCGAGCTTTTTTAGCGCCTTGTGTAAATACTGTGCTCACATGCAACAAGTTGTGACGCCATTAATCAGTCGGGTTTCAGAAACCTACTGTCTATTTGATGAATGTTAATGATACAACTTCCTTTCCCAATCAATGTAAGAAGGTGGAAGACCGAAAGAGCAAACTTACTTCCAAGTTTTCTATCTTCCTGAAATGGTGCAAACGAATTCCATGTCGACGGTGCGCAGACACCATAGCAAGATGTTAGTCAGAATACTGTTTAAATTACCTTACGAAGCTTTACTCCTAGAAGAAAAAAATAAAAATAAAAATAAAAATCAACCACCCAGTGGAGAAAAACGACTACAGTTAATGCTGGTCTCGAAACAGATGCACAGAGGAAGGAAGCACACCTAGTATACTTGCTGGGGTCATGATTCATCTGACTATTTGAGATGCGGGCCAACATGTCCTCAAAACTGCCTCACCAAACAAACGACTTGCTGATCCAATATATGCAAATTCAGGATTAGCTGAAATCTACTAGAACGCAACGTGTGAAAGGATGCATCGTCTTGGAGAGGAACAGACAGTTGAGAGAGTCAGAAAGTTTGCCAGGTTTGAAGCGAGACGGAAACTGATGTCTACCTCTTGTTTCGCTCATGCGCTGTCAAATTTGCAAATCGACCAATAACTTCTTCGATGCTGCACATCATTAGCCAAGTAACCATTAGCTGCCGCAAAATCAGTGACAGATGAGGTCAGCTATTCTTCCATAAAAAGTAGAAATCAGAACATTCTTATCAACCTATGAGCTAGGATTGTAGGGCTACCCGGCAACACCAGGAATACTTCGTTCTGGTCGCCTTCAAAAGACAACAACGTTTCCCGCAGCAGCAGCCACTGACTGTCGGAAGAATTCAGTGGAAGAGTGAATCCAATCCCAACATACTTAATGGGAGTGACTCCAACTTATCACTACAGAATGCTCACGGTGTCTTTGTTACAAATTTGAAAGGGTGCTAGGTTATCTAGAATGATTACAGAGGTTTTCGATTCAACAATCGTCAGTGTTTGTTGGAGGAGCTGGTGAGAAGATCCCACCTGCTATTGCAATATTGGGTGAGTTTTCCGGATGGCGAGAACATGATGAGCGCCAGGTCAATGTCGCACAACACTGACAATTCGTAAGTCTTCTTGATGAGCCCATTACGTCTCTTAGAGTATGTCACCTGTCTGTTGGTCGAATTCTCTATCTTCTTTATCTCCAGCTTAACTCGTCCCATCCCAATGGCCTCACGCTAAATCCTCTCTTTTCTCCCTGTCTGTACAAAATGCGACACCACCCAAACCACCCACCTCGGGGAATTCGGTACCTCCCTGTCTATGTCTCGCTCTCTCCACCGGAGACTCAACAATACGTCCTCTTAAGCACGCGACCACCGCTCTAAGTTCAATTTACTTGTGGAATCCGCAGCTAAGCGAGAGCACAAGTAGGGCAATAATTAGACAGCGTTGCCAGAGTAGACTCTCCGCGGCACGCCAAGCAATTCTTTCGTTCATGCAAAAATCCCCCACGAAACTCCCTTCATTCTGCCCGCTTCAGTCTCCACTCCGTCGTCTTCTAAAGTCTCAGTGCAGACGATCACACAACGTCCAACCTGACAGTGATAAACCCTCTTCTTCCAAAGCTGGTGCGGGATATCGCTCATGAGCAGCTGCAATTTCAACAACGCGATGGAGAATCCAGGCGACGTTTGCAACATAGAAAACTTGGCTTGCAGAGGTGAAGACACCACAGCTCATAGCCAGACAAGCGGGGGGAACCTGGTCTGTGGACCCGGGGGCCGGATTTCTGGGACCTCGCCGATTGATCAGAGGAAGAATACGCCCATCTCCATTTGTGTAGCTGATAAAGTCGAGACTCCGCTTCTTCGGCCTTAGATGATACTCCCAGGGGGCAAGTCTTCCCTGCCAGTCAACGATGTCTACAGTAGTGCAGGCAAGTCACGACCCCCCCCTCAGTCAATGGATCTCAAGTGCCCGCTTTCCTTTGTTGCATAGCTCCTCATCGCCCTCTGCTTGCCGATCCTTTCACCATCGTTTACCGCATCTGCACATTGCAAACTCAAACAGATTATGACATCGGAGGAGGAATTTTCCAATGCTAGATTGAGTGGATGGTGAATCTAGACGTCTCATACCTGCTACAGACTTCTACAGTGAACTGCATCACCAACCACAGAATGTGATGATGATTTTCATATCCACTTTTCTCAAGTCAACTAGCTATTGTATCGGCCCCCTCTTTAGCTAATGAGACAGATTCAATATCTTTTATGATTAGGGAAGAAAACATGATGCCGTTAACACCGAGGATAAAAAACGAATGCTCGCTTGATCACACAACGTGTTTGGAGTCTGCAGTTGCACCTGGTGGTCAATGCTCAGAGACTCTATGTATTGTAAGCGGATTTCGGTTACCATTAGTTTCAAATGCTGTGAATCTGCGCACCTTACCATGTCTAGAGATTTATCAGTCCGGACTGATTTGCTACTTACCAAGTCTATCAATTTCTACCAACTAAAGTTATACAAATGTGGAGCCTCAAGATGATTACGTAACAAGCATCTCCGAGGTCGTGCCCACATGAAAGTAGTCAACAGACATTGCAAGGCTCATGTCTTATAGAGCTCTTCCAGCGATATATTTGGAACCTTAAATCCCAACAATGATTTCCTTGGCCCGAAATCATTTGAGGGGTGTTTCGAAATCAAAAAAGTATATAGCATCGGAGGCACATTTTCCCCCATTCTCCCTCATCTGTCGAGGTGTCCTGCGAAACCGATTTCGTAGTCTTGCGCACGAGTGGATTGCGAAGTGCAAGCAACTGGTAATCATACAGAAGGAGAATCGGGTTCTGTAGAGTAATTCGACAGATATCATGCGAGGACACAACTGAGGAAGTGGTAGCTTACAGAAAGCTCGGTGATTGTAAGAGGTAACTCTTGCTGAGGACAAGAAGGATCACATAACATGCGCATGCAGTGCTGCACCTGCGCAGACTCTGTCTTGTGCGTGTCGGTTGCGAACGAGTGCAGATTTTAGGTGTATTTCCCCCAAAAAGTGATTCTCTTTTCTTTTTTCTTTTTCTTTTCCCTCGCAATTACAGCAGATTCTTTCACGGGAGGATAGAGACTGCGTCAGCTCGGTGCGTTCATCAACTACTTTGTCCTGTGCGCCGCAATTTCTGCTTCTCGGCTCCTACACTTTTCACAGGCCACTTTGAAAGATCTTGGACCAAATTCAGCCCTATTTTTCTTGGGCGTTATCGCGTTTCCGTGCACTGCTGCGCCCACCACAGTGGTGTTTCAGGGCCGGCGCTGGACGGAGAAGCATCACGCAGTTGTGAGGAATTTTATGCTCGGTTCCAGCACGCAACCGTGGTGTGGAGACAGTGCTTAAACAATTACACTGGATTGCGTGAGATGGAGGGCGACCATTTTTTTTTTTGCTCAATGATTCCACCTCGTAGATCCCATCCCTAGGGGTCCACGGATCCAAAGGGACAGGGTGGACTTCGGTGAGTAAATTTAGTAGGAACGGGCTAGAAAAGTCCATCTTTCGAGTACGTGAAACAAAACAACCCAGCTCCTAACTCTCGGGGGTCACCCGGAAATGATTCTCGGACTCACCTCTGCAATAGAGATCACTTCTGTCTCTTCAATAATGAATGTTAGACAAACCAACAAACAGGTAACGATTCCTTGTTTGATGATTGGACCCCTGCCCTGGCACGCACATCGAGCGAAATCCAAGACCGAAATGGAGGTTGGTGTGCAGGAAATGTCTTTACCGCGAATTCGAGCATGGATTTCACAACTGAGCTGCTTTCACGATTCTTACTCATCCTGTTTACCCCGAACTCTCGATGATGCTGCACTGCCTCACTGCACTAGGATCGATCTCTCCACGTAAGCTTCGTTGTCGGGTCACAGCTCGCCTGTCAAAACTGCACCATCACTCTCGGATCGTCCCCTTTATTCACAAGTAAACCGTCGTTCGATTGCTGATAAATGGACCGAAGCCGTGGAAACTCCATATCAGGTGCACGAGCTCGCAAGCTTCACGATCCTTTGGCGTCAGCCGCAAGCACGCACTTGCGTGACCCACTTCGTAACCGCTTTCATGCGGCACTTCCGTGACTTCGAAGAGGAAGACTCGTCTGATGAGAGTTGGGAAATGAGCCCACGTTCTCTGAGCTGTTTTAGGGCTCCAATTGTAAGTGTGAATTTTGTGGCATTATTGTATGTTTAGTTATTAAAGTCGACTCCACTTATCTATTGCTTGGATTCATTCCTTTGTAATTCTATTATACTAGATTTTAGACACAATTTTAGAAGTAATAATAGGATCATATGTGTGAATTGAAATTCTAATTTTTAAAAAATGTATTGACAATATCATCTCAAAACATCTTTCAAAATAATTCAAATACACTACTTTTCTTAGACAATAATCAATCACAATTAACAACAAAGGATGTCCAGAAAGTTCTTAATTCTATAGAAAAAGTTGAACTTCTTTGAATCTTATCATCTTTAAGAATTTCTATAAAAAGCCTATTGAGATGCCTATTAAGAAGCTTGCTGAGAAGGTTGTTAAGAAACCTACCAAGAAATATGTCTGGAATTTGTTAAGAAGTTTGTTTAGAAATTAACCAAAAAGCCTACTATTAAGAAATCAATTAAGAAGGACAATTATGCTTTAATATGAAATTAGTACATTTGAGAAGTCCATTGTTAAAGAATAGTCTCAACAAGAATTTACCTAAAATTTGGTTGAGAATAGGTCTTGTAAGCAGATACTTATTTCAAATATATTACAATCTTAATAACAATTTGTGATTGAGACATACAGAGAAGCATCTTATCAAGAAGGTAATAAAATTAAAAACTATTTTTGACCTCATACTAAGACATATTGCAATGTGATCTTGTCTTAAATTCTACTTACAATACCACTTTGTATAGAGCTAGTTTTTAAAGTGTTTCTAATTAAAGTTAAAATAAATGTTGAAAAATTACAAAATATATTCTAAAATTGGGCACTAATTAATAAGAAATCTTATAAGTATTGAGACTTAAGCAAATACCACTCTTAATTCATAATGAAATTGCCAACATTAGATCATATGTATTATTCAACATGACCATGTATTTTATAATAACTTCCTATTAAAAATTTAATATAATATTTTTTTTGTAACTATTACACGTCAAAAATACAATGGTAAAATGGCTTTAAAATAATTTCAAAATAATAGTACACAATAATCAACAAGAAAGTTGTAGAGATGTAGAATTTTAATTGAAATACATGTATAAATTAATATTCTATTTTTAATTCTTTAATTCTTTTGAGATTTTTAATTAATATTTAATAGAAATATTTTTTAAATTTTATCTAAAATTATTAGAAAGTAATGAAGAATTATGATTGGTTATTCCACACATTATTTGATAAAGAATGTTTTTTCTTTCATTTTCATTCTTTGTTTGTTTGTTTTGTTTTTTTTTGTTTTGTTATTTATTTATTTATTTATTTATTTATTTATATTTATATTAAAAGATGAGTATACAAGTATTTTTGATAATAGCATCAAAAACTATATTTCATGCATTTATAATATAATATATAATAATAAGATATTTTTTAGGTAAGACTTACAAATGTACTTGTTGAATAACCTTGATAGAAATATAATGTTAGTTGTTAGTATTGTATTTAAAATATTTTGGAACATTGATAGTTTTGATATTTTTTAAAGAAGTTAAAATAAGTGAATCATATTTTTATAAATAAATATATACTACAATAGATTTAATTATTATATTATATTATCTAATTAATAAAAATAAATTAAAGTAATTTTAAGTAGATGAAAAATACTAAATAAATAATATCTTTTTTAAAAAAAATTCAAGTAGTTTTTAAAATATAAACTAGATTTTTAGATTCTTATAGAAATGCCACATAATTATTCAGAGTTATATTATAAGTTTCCAACTTTTAAAAAATTATGTAGAAAAAAACCTATAATTTGATAATTACCTATATGATTTAGATAATAGTAAATAAAAGTAGATTAATTTTATAATATCTTCTATAAAAGCTTTTTATAAGCTTTTTAGATATTGCTTTAACTTTACATATGTCTTTAATTGACTTTTTAGATTAAAAACATAGTCAATAAGTTGGCCATGTGCCACATATGTTGGTAGCTTGAAGAACAAGTTAATTATGTTGCCCTTATATAGAAAACTTACCTTGTAAGTTAAGGCATGTATCTTGCAAAGTCAAAACATATTAAAAGTCTTATAGAACATCGCCACATAGCTCCTAGTTAGATAGTATATATAGAGGCAAGAGTGAAGCCTTCTTCACTCTTGTCAATCCCTTTCTTGTTTGTAGTCTAGATTTAAGAGTCTCTAGTTTCTTTGTCTTTCTGCAATAGCCATTCCAGTTTCTTTTTAATATACATATTATTTTATTGCTATTTTGTAACTTTTCTATTAATATAGGTTTTCTAAATTTATGCATCTTCTTTCGGTTCATGTCTTTGATAGATTGACAAGAGTGTACTTATAATATTAGAGCTTTATCTTTTCTTGATTAAAAGTGGATTATCATTTTTTTTTTTGATAAGATATAAGCTTATTAGAAGTTTTGGATTATCCTCTTCTAAACTAATATTGTTCTTAGTATCTTCTATGTTCTCAAGTCTCCTATTCTACTTATCTTGAGCAATATTAGATATTTATTTTTTAAGTATTGTTATGGCAAAGCTTGTTGAAATGAAGAAAGTAATAGTACAAATGCAAGAGCAATTGAGAGAATTAATGCTTGTGATGCATCAACTCAATTTACTACCACAAGGAACAATAAGAATAGTAGGATGTAATGATATAGATATAATTGAAGCTGCTTCAACATCTACACCCAATCATATTCCTTCTCCTATGGTTGAACATCCTTTTGGTACTAGAGAATTAAGAGTTGCCTTGCCTAA